ATTGAAGAAGATTTAAGGAAATGGAAAGATTTTCTGTGTTCCTGAATCGGAAGAATTAACATCATGAAAATGACAATACTACCCAAAGCAATTTACAAACTCAATGCACTATCCATCAAAATCCCAGCAACATTTTTCAATGAAGTAGACAAAGCAACTCAAAAATTCATATGAAATAACAAAAGACCCTGAATAACAAAAGTAATTCTTAGCAGGAAGAACAATGTTGAAGGAATATCAATATCAAACTTCAAACTCTATTACAAAGCCATAGGAATAAAAACAGCTTGGTACTGGTACAAAAATAGGCCTTTGGACAAATGGAACAGAATAGAATACCCAGAAATAAACCCATAGACCTATAACCATTTAATATTTAATAAAGGAGCCAAAAACATAGGTTGGAGGAAAGACGGCCTCTTCAGCAAATGGTACTGGCAAAATTGGCTATCTACATGCAGAAAACTGAAACTAGATCCTTATATATCATCTTGCACCAGAATCAATTCAAAATGTATCAAAGACCTCAGTGTAAGGCCAGGAACCATATATTACAGGAAGGGGTAGGGGAAACACTAGGCTTCCTACGCACAGCTTGAAACTTTCTAAGTAAAGATCCAGAATCATAACAAATCAAAGAAAGACTGGATAAATGGGATTGCAACCAAACTTAAAAGTTTCTTCCTGGCAAAACCATAGCTAACAAGCTAAACAGAAAGCCTACAAAATGGGAGAAAATTTTCACCAGCTATACATCTGACAAGGGCCTAATATCCAAAATATACTTAGAGATCAAAAAAATTAAACTCCTCAAAAATAAAATCTTAAAGGAACAACAATCCAATTAATAAATGGGCTAATGATTTACAGAGAGACTTCTCAGAAAAAGCAAAAATGGCCAAAAGACATGTGAAGAAATGTTCAACATCTCTGACCATAAAGGAATTGCAAGGCAAAGAATACTGAGAGTCCATCTCACCCCAAGAAAACTACAACAAATGATGGCCTGGAGGTGGCCAAAAGGGAAGTCTATGACACTGATGGTGAGAATGTACGTTGGTTTAACTACTTTGGAAGCAGCAAAAACTAAACATAGAGCTTCCCTATGACCCAGCCATTCCTCTCTGGCATTTGTCCAAGAAGGCACTTCTATGTTCATCGCAGCCTTATTTACCATAGCTAAGATAGAAGTCAGCTCAGATGCCCCTCGACAGCCAGGTGGATGAAGAAATGTGCTATTCACTCATCAGAAAGAATGAGATTGAATAGAAAGACTTGGAAAAAATTATATTAAGCAAAGTAAGCAAGACCTAGAGAAAGATAGGTTGCATGTTTTCCCTCATTTGTGGTAGCAAGAATATACCTATAAATCTACAAGTAAGGCTATCAATCTACAAGAATGTGGCTTCGTGGTAGAGTGCTTACCTAGCATGCATGACGCTCTGGGTTTGATTCCTCAGTACCACATACATAGAAAAAGCCGGAAGTAGTGCTGTGGCTTAAGTGGTAGAGCATCAGCCTTGAGCAAAAGAAGCTCAGAGACAGTGCCCAGGCCCAGAGTTCAAGCCCCAGGACTAGCAAAAAGAAAAAAATCTGCAAGTAAACACACAGGTAAGCAAGGGGTTACAAATGAGTTCACTGAAGTGTAGTAGACTATGGACAAAATGAGTACTTGCAAGAGTGGAGAGTGGTACAAGAATGAAGCAGGAAAGGGGAAAGAATGCAGGCAAGAATTCATTGTAGCCAGGAACCAGTGGCTCACACCTGTAACCCTAGCTATTCAGGGCTGAGATCTGAGCACCACAGTTTAAAGCCAGCCCAGTCAAGAAAGTCCCTGAGTTTCTTATCTCCAGTTAACTACCAGAAAACCGGAAGTGGAGCTGTGGCTCAAAGTGGTAGAGTGTTAGCTTTGAGCAAAAAGGCTCAGGGATGGCCCAGGCCCTGATTTTAAGCCCCATAACAACAACAACAACAACAACAAATTCATTGTATATATGACAGAATTGAGAAATATAAGGGCAGGGATGGGTTGGGGGTGTGTGTGAAGATGTTGAAGGGATGACACAGACCAAGAGACATTGTACATATAAACTGCTTTGTTAAATTGCAAAAAACTCAACACATAACCTCAAACCAAGGTAAGTAAGGGAAGGAGTGGGCTGGGAGGGATGGGGAGAAGTTGAAAGGGGTGACACTGATCCAGTCACACCATATCATACACTGTTCCGGTGGATGACAACTCCTTCATACAACGGCTGAAAGATAATGAAAAATATTCAGGAAATAATAAATGAATAAATTAATCAAATTAATTCAATTAATAGTCAATTTAATTGCATTAATCAAATGTAATTGATGCACAAAAATTAAAAAGTAGGCAAAAAAAGGCCTGTCACTGCCCCCAGGTGACTGGAAAAGCGGCCAAGCAGCCTGTAGTGATCAGGGCAGTCCTTCATGAAGGAAGATCCTCTGTATAATTGAAGGCCAGTATGAATGCCAATCACAGCGGACCTTCCTGTAAATAAAGGACTGCTGCACCAATCACAGCAGAACTCTGTGCAAACAAGAGCTGTGTCCGCACCAAACATGGTGCACCTCTCATTTGAACGCTTACTTTTCTTCCTCAGCTCTTTGATTTGTATTATATTCAAGACAGAATCTTGTTACCTTTACCTGAGCTGGCCTTGAGCTTGAACTCTCCTGAATCAGCTCCCAAGTAGCTAGAACTACGGGCACAAGCCACTGGGCCTGGCCTGTCCCCACTTACCACTCACTGCCATGCTGTGTTCTGGTCTGGAGCGGCAAGGGCTGAGCTCCCCACAGGCAGTGTGGCTTCCGCGTTCCCACTCTGTCTCGCTGTGCCCCTGCCCCCAGTCCATCTCGGCTGGGATGTTGGCAGCATGGGTGCAGGGCACCGGCAGGGCAGGTGCATCCTAAGTGTGTGCACACATGCCTCAGGTGAGGAGCCTGGAGCCCAGACGGAGGGGAAGACTTAGACCAGCCCCAAGACAGACCACCAGGTCAGCGGCAAGGTCACAGACTAGAGGGGAGGTGTGCGGTGTTTAGGCTGACGCTCGGTCAAGGAGGGCCGTGTGTGCATGGACATGGACCCTTCTTCCTTACTGCCACCATCCTGACCACCCCAGTCCTCCCCAGCCTCCTCAGGCCCCTCTTTATCTGGGGATGCCTTGCTACGGATGGGTGGGGAAAGGGTACGTTCAGGCAACTGAAACTAATGCCTCACTTCCCCCCGCCCCGACAATTTGTCCTCTGAGGGTACATGGGGCTGCGGGCAAAAGGCAGAGGTCACAGGCTAGGCAGGATGGGATACACAAAAACTCACTGTCAGCCAGGTCCGGTGCCCAGGACAGAGCAGCCAGTCCCCAAGCCGGAGAGGACAGTGCTCTCTGTCCTCAGATGGACGGCCACCCACGCTGACCACAGAGCCTCTGCTGGAGGTCTCCCCACTGGCCACCTCGCATCACCAAGGGTCTGGCTGGGCTTGTGGGAGAGCACCCCCGCTGGAAGGTGCTCGCCCCCATGCAGGTGCGCGGTCCAGGGCGGTCTCCTGCCGTAAGCCTCACCTTGGAGGCAGGCTGGCCTGGGCCACCTCTCCCAGGCCATTTCCTGAAGAGCTTACGGCCTCTCCTTGTTTTCTGGCCCCATCCTCCCAGCCTGTGCGGGCCGTGTGCACAGACGCAACCTGTGGAGCCACACTACAGAGCCCCACGCATGTCAGGGACCTGAGGAAGGCAGAGAGGCCACCTCCACACGCTGGCCTGGCTGTTTCCCCACTGTCTGGGCCAGCACGCTACGACAGACATTGCCACCATGGAAGAGGGAACGGGCCCACCGGCCTCAGGGGAAGTGATGTCCCCTCAGCACAGGTGGGTGCTGAGCGAGAGTCCAATACCAAGAGGAGAGTAGGAGACGGCAGGCCCAGGCTTGGGTGCTTCCCACAGAAAACGCTAGAACCCGGCTCAGAGGAGGGGACGGGGGGGGGGGGGCGCGGGGCACTGGGGTGGGAAAGCCAGAGTCGTCCATCTCCAGAGAGCAAAGCATGCAGCACAGGGACAACAAAAAGCCACTGGGTTCTTTTTTTCTTTTTTATTGGCAAAGTAAATATATTCTTCTGAAGGACCAAAGAAAATATACATAATTATAACATATGTACACTGCTTTATAGATTTTTAAAATTTCAAATGTACACAAATGTCAACATGTTATTAAAAGATAACTTTATGCGGAGGTGGACCTATGTACAGTTTATTTACATACATTCACAGGGTGTGAGATAGACTTGTCAAACAAGCTAGATCACTCGATAGTAATTTCTAGACACAAGGAGGAATGCATTTCTAAGTCAGGGCTGGAGGCTCCGGCTGGTCCTTCCGCAGCCGGGCTGCCCCTCCCTCAGTGGCCAGGGCTGGGGCCTGGGACTATCTGGGAGATGGAGGAGGGAGCAGGACTGCTGGCCAGGGTGGCACCTGTGTCCTGCACCTTAAACTCAAGCACTGCAGGCCCCGGGGGGCGCCGCTCACCCCGCCCCACGGCGTGGCCCTGCCACAGCCTCCGCCTGATGACGGAGCGGGCTCTTGCACACCGCAGCCACACCACGGTGCAGCCCTGGACCTTCACCCTACTTCCCTCTTCCCAGCACGGCCCCCTCTGGGAACTGAGTGTTTCAAAACTGCGCATTTCTTCTTCCCCAGCAATAAAGCGTTGGCTTTGGCCCAGGCCGGGAGCCCAGTGGGAGAAGGGCAAGACCCAGCCCCTGCTTCCAGCTGGTGGCTGCATGGAGGCCTGGCAGCCAGGAAGGCACATGGCGAAGGCCCACTGGGGGCCCGGCCCGAGGATGGGGCAGCCCCGGGGCCTCCCAGGAAAGGCAGTGGGTGGCGAGCTCTGGGCTCTGGGTGGCACCTCCTGTAGCAGAAGGTGAGCTGGTAACATTGTCGCATCCCTCTGGAGGAGGCAAATAAATTATTGCTTTAAAAGGAGGGCCGCAGGAGGCGGCGGGCAGCTCAGTTGAGGGTGCGCACGGTGCGGCTGCTGCGCGGGAAGCGGTGCACCTTCACGTGCTTGGACAGGTGGTCGCTCCGCGCGAACTTCTTCTCGCACACGGGGCACTGATACGGCTTCACGCCGGAGTGCGAGCGCCGGTGCCGCGACAGCTCGTCGGAGCGAGAGAACCTAAGGGACACAGGGACACGGGGTCAGCAGGCCTCCCTGGGGCCTGGACCTGAATGGGGGCCCAGGTGGGGTGGGAAGCCAGAGCCCTGGCCTCCTGTGCAGCCGCGGGGCAGGGCGGCTCGGCTGGGTGGTCCTCTCGGGTCAGCCCAGCTCTGCTGGGACAGGAGGGGGCCCCACCCCCGCCCCGCCCGCGTCTGTGCTGAGTCCTCAGGGCTCTGGCTGTGCCGCCTCACCAGCCGCAGCGGCAGCCAGAGCCTCCCAGGGCGTCACTGAGGGGACACTGAGCAGGCGGAGGATGCCTCCTCCCAGCGGCGGGGCTTCCCGCAGGAGGGTCCCCAGACCGGCCTGCCCCACAACCGCATCCTGACATCCTGGAAGAAGCTGACAAACAGAACTGCACCCTTGCTGGGCGCCGGTGGCTCACGCCTGCAATCCTAGCTGCACAGGAGGCTGAGATCTGAGCACTGCAGTTCAAGCCAGCCCGGCAGGAAAGTCCACGAGACTCTTATTTCCACTTAAACACCAAAAAAGCTAGAAGTGGAGCTGTGAATCAAGTGGTAGAGCACTAGCCTTGAGCAAAATGTGATGGCACCTGGCTCTGAGTTCAAGCCCCAGGACCGTTCCCCACCCCCCCCCCAAAAAGGTGCCCTGGCTAAGTGTTCAAGCATGTGGATGCCCCAGCATCGCCTCTCTCCACCTCTGCTGGCTGGGGACAAACACTCTCACGGCAGCCCGAGCGAGCGAAGCTGCCGGGCGCGGCTCAGGGTGAGACTGTCCTCAGGGTCCCGGGTCCTGGCAGCCGGGCCCTCCGCTCCGCTCCGCTCCCACACCACCTGCCTCCTCTGCGCCCTCCATCGCCACCGTTCCTCCGTGCCTCCTGCTGCCCACCATTTGCATATTCTGTTCCCTTTATCTAGAAATGTTCTTCCCTCCCCTATCCTTGCTCTTTCCTGCCCATCCCTTAGAGTTCAGCACGAGAGCCGCTTCCTCAGGAAGGGCCTCCGAGACTGCGCCCATTCCAGACGCTCACCAGTCTTGCGGATGCTGGGGAAGAGCTGTGCCATTCCAGTTTTGGGTGCCTGTCAGTCCGTCCTGCAAGACAGGGAAGGCCAGGAAGGCCACGGCTGACTGCCTCCCTGCGGTCTGTCTACTGCCTGCTGCGTGCTGGGCATCAGCAATTGTGTTTAAATGAGCGACCTGGCCAGGGGCTTGAGGTCAACACACACGAGGGCAGTGTTGGTGTTCTCACACGCACAACGTATGAGTACGCACAACATACAGGTACAGCCACACCCATGAGCACCAGGCCCGATGTCCCGTTCCTAGGCCCAGGACAGGAGGCCCTCTCCTGCCTGATGGCAGGGCCCGCAGCTGCCCCGTCCTGCCCACAGGCCAGCAGGCACAAGAGGGGCTCCGGATGCTGAGGGCCTCAGCTCCCCGTGTTGCCCAAGGCCCAGGGTCCTGTCCCCAGTGGGCAGCTGCTGCACGTGGAAGCCAACTCCAGCCCATGCCTCTGGGAACTGTGGGGTCTGCATGGGCCCCCAAACACAGGGAGGCCGGGGGAGGGAGTCAGCACATCTTCTGACTCCATGAAGCTCAACCACTGTGTGTGCCGAATGAGGAAGGTGCGACTCCTGCACTGAGGTACCATGACAGAGCAGCCGGCCAGAGCAGCGGTTCCCGCATGACCCCGCAGCCTGTCCTCACCGCAGCCTGTCCTCACCGCCTGCTCTGTGACAGCGGGCAGCAGGTAACCTGACGTCTACTGAAAACTGCTAGCATCCTCCTGGCTGTGTGTGTGTGTGTGTGTGTGTGTGTGTGTGTGTGTGTGTGTGTGTGTGTGTGTGTGTG